TTATTATAAAATTTGTAACTTTTGTTGACTTCTAGAATTTCACCGTTGGTGTTTTCTTATTTCCTGCCTTTAAACCATGGTGTTTTCCATGCAGCAAGAAGAGAGTAAGTGGAACATTATGGGACAAAGAACAGGAACAATTTAAGATTGTGTAGTGGTCAAAACCAAGTATGATGGTGTTCGCTAAATGACATAAATGAATCAAATGAGCCATAAGAACACTTGCCGAGTCTCTCCCAAGTCCATTGCTGTTCACCTAAATCTCACTCCGAGGCTCTGTTTCCTTTGTTAATGGGAAATACTAGATTCTCATTGTATATTTGTTTGTATTTATGTTTTAATGAAAAAAGATTCCATTTCTGCCTTTTAGGATGTGAATCTCTATTTCCTCCAATATTTTATTATGAAAAAAATTTCAACAGAGAAAAGCTGAATTACATAGCAAACAGCCACGTATTCATCACCTAGATTCTACAGTTGTGAACATTTCACTTTACTCATTTATCATTGATTCATCTCTCTATTCATCCATAAATGCACTTTATGTGTGATGCATTTCAAAGTAAGGTGCAAATGTCAGTACAATTCTCCCCCAGACACTTCAACATGCATATGGTTAACTAGCTAGCACTCATTATTTGTTTAGGGTTCTTTCCTTTTTTTTAGATAAAATTTATTTTTTAGTGAAATTCTCAAATCTTAATTATACCATTTGATGAGTTTGGGGGATACATATACCTCTTCACCTACATCCTCTGGGAAAATATTTAACATCTCCATTGCCCAGGAAAACTCCCTCTGGGGTTTTATGATTCGTCACCTCACAGAATCTGTGGATGTAATTAGAGACTCAGAAAGTTGATTGGTGATAAATGACCACAGAAGCAGTTTAGTTTCTGTTTGCTTAGACAGAGAAATATAATCAGAGCAAAGGCTGGGGAGCAAGTTGTTTTAATTTATGTATGCTACTTCTCAGTGTCACTCAGGAACTGGAAAGAATAATTAATTTTAACTTGCTTCCACTCAGATACTATGTATGTTCATTAAAATATATGTTTAAAAGTTGGTACTAAATACATTCACATAACTGTGCATTTTTATCCAAATTCGCAAATATATTAGTGCAGGGTTGGTTATTTTCTTTCAACTTTTTAAAGTTTCAGGTATTAATTTTTTTCATTCATAACATTTCATCTTTTCCAAAAACTTTGCAATAAATTTACCCTCCTGTATTTAGGATAAAATGAATGAAACGGATCTTTTTTTTTCTTTTCTCTTTTTAAAAAATTTCTGGCCTACTGTAAGTATTTCTGACACGAATATGGACTATAAAGTTGTTTTTAAATTACTGAAGTCAATTTCTCGGAATTCTTTGTGGAACCGAGTGCTCTTGGAGTCAGGCCGACATATGTCCAAACCCTGACTCTGCTAATTGCTTAATCATTTTGATCCTTGATTTTTTTGTGTATGAAATGGGAACAATACATGAATTTATCTCATGGAATTGTTGAGAGGATTAAATAAAAAAAAAAAAAAGACAGTCTTCAGTGCTTAGCACATCTTATGTATTCAAATACGTTAGTTAATTGCGTTAGTTAATTTAGTAAAGACTGTCTCTCTATAAGCTTTGTTGTTTAGAATATTCCTGATTATATTTTTAAACCTTAGGGAACACAGTGATTGTGTTTAAGAGATCACATATCCTTCATCTAACGTTTAGTCCTACGAAAGAACAGTATCTACAGATTTTAATTTTTAATTAACATTCATTAAGAATCAGATGTAAAAAGTACTCGATTCCCACCAGTAACTGAAAAGAAAAATTCACAACACCAAAAGTTGGTGAGGACGTGAAGCAACCAGAATTCTTACGTATTGTGGGTAGGGATATACGCTGGTGCAAGCACTTTGGAAAACAGGAGTTTTCTTAAAGAGTTACACATACATCTACTCAGTGTTTCTCAAAATGGCAATAATGTTGAGGTTGATAAACCCTGATCCACTTCATGACCCAGCCATTCCCCGCCTACATATTTACCCAAGAGTAAAGAAAACATACACTCACAAATATGTACTGGGATGTTCATAGCAGGTTTATTCATAATAGCCCAAACTGGAAACAGAACTCAGATGTCCATCAAAAGGAGAACAGATAATTAAATTGTGGTCTATCCATACAATGGCATACTTCTTAGCAATACGAAGGAACAAACTACAGGTACATAAAACAGCAGAGATGAATATTGACAGGGTTCAGAACATGCTATCCCAAATTATGGTGCCTTGGCATATGAGATTTTTTAAGCTAAAGGAATTTGAGAAATGGCAGGTGCAGCACTCTCTGACCTTGCCCTGAAGCAGATCACAAGACCCTCAAGTGAGGTGTGCTCTCCCTATACCTGGAAGAAAAGAACAATTTTTTTTTTAAAAAAGCTTGTAGCACCTAGTATTCCTACATGATCTCCCATCTAAGTACTAACCAGGCCCGACCCTGCTTAGCTTCTGAGATCAGACGAGATCGGGCATGTTCAGGGTGGCATGGCTATAGAAAAAAATAAAAAAAAAGAACAATCTTATCTCTGAAGATGGAAGGACTCCAAGAAGAATCTGAATGAACATGTCTTGTAAATTTTCCCCAGGTTTATTCCTCTTAGTTCATACCCATTTGTCATATTTTTCCACTACTCATCAAACCTAGTAGAAAAATACTCAGGTTTAATGGCTTCTTCAGGTCTTCATTTCCTTCTTAAAGGCTCTCATGTCACATAAAACATATTAGTAAATTTATATGCTTTTCTCTTGTTAATAGAGTCCCAGCTAAGAACCTGGAAGGGTAGAAGGAAAAAGAGTTTTCCTCCTCAACAATAAAAAAGTATTTACAAAAATTATAAACAGTAATGATTGAATATGTATGAAATCCTAGAATAGATGAAACTAAACTCTGGTGATAGAAAAACAGATCAATAGTTGCTTCTTGTGGGTGGGAGATTGATTGGGAAGGGGCTTGAGGGACTTTTCTAAAATATTTAATAGGCATTTGGCAAAACTGGTTGAACTGTACACTTAAGACCTGAGCATTTGACAGTATGTAAATTATACCTTAAAGGAATTGGGGGGAAAAAAGGCAACTAACTCGTGAGTTTGGAAGATCTTGGAAGCTCTTTTTCTTCTAATCAGCTTCCTGTTGGTTGACCCTCGTACTCTCCAACTTTTATATTTTCAGTCTTTTTCATTTTTGCCATTCTAATGTGTAATTGAATCTTATTATGGGTTTAGTTTACATTTCCCCAGGCTAATGAACTTGAGCATCTTTTCATATTTTATTGGCCTTTGGATATCATCTTTAAGTGTTTGTTTTAGACTTTTGCTCATTTTTTCACTGGGAACATTTATATTTCTTGTAGGAGGTTTTTGTTTGTTTGTTTGTTTACTTGTAGGAGCTCTGGATAGAAGTCCTTTGTCGAGTTATATATTCTGGATGCAAGTTCTTTGTTGTACAAAATAACTTCTCCTACTCTATAGATTGCCTTTTCACTCTCAATGGTGTCTTACGATGAATACATGTTCTTAATTTTAACATAGTTCAATTTATATAATTTTAACATAGTTCAATTTATGATTTGTGCTTTTTCTGTCCTGTTATAAATTTTTTGCCTACTTCGAGATCACAAAAATGTTATCTTATGTATTCTGCTAAAAGTTATAGTTTAACTTTTAAAATATAGATTATCAATCCAAATGAAATGTATTTTGGTTTATGATGTGAGGTGAGTCCAAATAAAGTTATTTCCATATGGATTTCCAAGTGACTTATCATTATTTTTTGAAACATTTTTTTCTCCATTGATGCACATCCTGGAAGATTTGTTAAAAATATATTTCATTATATAGTACTATATAATGAAATATATTTTAAATACTATATATATGTATATAGTATTTACATAAATATTTCAAACTCTACACTTCTATAGTCTCCTATTTCCACGCAATACTGTGAACATACAGCCTATTAATGGCTGCATAATATCCCATTATATGTATGTAGCATAAAGATTTTAATTAATTCTCTTATTCAGTTTCCAATTTTGTTATTGTTATTAAGGTGCTGAAATGAACATTTTGTCCAAAGCGAGTGCCAGTTGTGTTTCCTAAAGATAAATTGTTGGGAGTGGGAATTTCTGGGCTTAGGTGCAAGGCCATTTTAGTTTGCCTTCTTTAAAGTCTGTATCAATTTTTACTTCCAACCACAGTATATGAACCTATTTCTCCACATTTTCACCAACAGTGGCCGTCATCAATCTTTTAAAATCTTTGCTGAATTAGGCGAAAACTTTTCATTTCCAATTTTTTCATAATAGGTTAAACAACTTTGCATATTCTTATTAGCTGTTTTACTCTTTCTGGATGGCCTGTTCAGATCTTCGCCCATTTTTCTTCTGAGGTTATCTTTTCCCTAGGTTTATAAACATAATAACAGAGTGTTATTTCGCAGTTTCTCCAGTATGGCTTTTAACCTCGCCTCCTGTTTCGAGCACCAGTTTTAAATCAACCCGTACTAAGAATAAAATTCTGCGGAAAAGCTTTAGAAAGCCTCTGGGATCCAGGGGCCACGCTGGCGGAGCCAGCGTGTTCTGGACAGGTTTGTCCCGCCCCATCCCACCCTTTCACAGAGGGAGCGAGGCCAAAGGTCGCTACGTCTACTTCTAAGCGCGCAGCTAGTGTTGCCATAGACGCTGTGGGGATGAAGGCTGGTGCTGTCCAGCTCCAGCGCCCGCGGAGAAGCACATCCTAGCAAGCCAAGACCTTGGCACTGCGTCGCCGGCGTGCGTAACGTTGACGCGTGACGTCAGCCCGGCCTCAAGGCGCGTGCGCAGTGTGTCTGTCAGAGCCCTCAGGCCGCCGTCTGCCGGCGCTCAGTGGCGGCACGGCCGGGAGGTGGGTTTTCGCTCCCTGTGTTGGGAGGGCGGGTCAGTCCTCCTTCCTGGCCTGCGGGCGCGCCACCTCTCTCCCCTGCGGTGGGGGGCGCCGTAGACTCCCAGGAGCGGAAGTGGAGAATGGGCCCCCGGAGTGAGGAGAGCGAGTGAAGCACAGCCTCGCGAGAGTCTGGGGGCCGAGGTGGGCGTGAGCGAAGGTAATCCAGGCCCGGGTTCCGAGCCCGAGGCGTCCTTCGACCTTCCAGTGGGTGAAGCAGGGGCTGGGACTGAGGTTTCTCCAGGTCAGCGACCGGGCCGCTTAAAGAGAGCGTGGGACTCACTTCTACCAGTTGAAAGGAGATCTTGGGTGCCCCGGCCCAAAGTAAAGCGCTGGATCTATATTAGCTATTACTTTCACTGTTGCTAGGAGGAAGAGTTGGCGGAAACACTTCTAAAACTCCTTTGTGAGTGTTAGTTGAGAGGTAACAACTGTTGATGGGATCTTATGGGTTCTGTGTTAGGCCCATGAATTTTGCAGGTATTTCCTTTGTGGTTTTGGGCGCGGTGCTACGTGACTTCATACTCGAGTCTGCAAAACAAGAATGCTAATACTGACCCTCCTAGCAGAATTATGATGCCACAGAGCTCTGTGGAGTGCTTAATGAAAGGGATAGAGGAACACATGCTGGAAACTTTTCCCTTCCATTTTTTAAACCACATGCTTAAAAAAATTTTCGGTCATGCATTGAAATGCTGGAGTGAAGTTGAAGTGCATTATTATAACTCACATTCAGAACCTCATTAGAAGAGTGTGAATGCTTGCAGTATTAAGCACTGTCCGGAACCTCTTGAGAGTGACATAAATGAGTAAACACACCGCTGAAAAAACAGTACAAAGTAAATGCTACTAGAATGCAGTCTGGAAATTAGTGTAGTTATTGTAGTGCTAGCTCACCTTTCTTTCCTGTTTTAATCATCAAACATTGGCTTCTTGTGGGCTAGTTGTTTAGTTGTCAATTTTTTCATATTTAATATTTAGATTCTTTTTGAAAACTGGTGGAGAATGCATTGGCTTTACTAAATAAATGCAGAACTCATGAACTGAAGCATCTGTTGATTGACATTGTGCTAACAAATACAGTTGACATTTGAACAGGTAGGGACTAGGGGCACCGACCCCCACGTATAACTTTAGATTCCACAAAAGCTTAACTCTCAATAACTTACTAGCATATTTCATATATGTATTATATACTGTATTCTTACAGTAAAGTAAGCTAGAGAAAAATTGTTATTAAGAAAATCATAAAGAAGAGAAAATACATTTACAGTATTTATAGAAAAGTCTACATATAAATGGACCCATACAGTTCAAACCTATGTTGTTTAAGGGTCACCTGTACCATATAATACTCTATCTGCAGGAATTAAGGACTTTTAACACTATGCCATTAAGCCATGCTTCTTTCTCTTTTAAATTCTGTTTCCTCTCCAATAGACAGATGTTTTTGATTTCTTTGGCAGTGGTAGAACACAAAATGTAGGTGACTGTATATTCCGTAAGGATAGTTCTTCAGTTTAAAATTCTATTAAAATGTGTTAAGTTTTAGTGGCAAGAAGTTATAATATTTTGTGGTGTAAGCATGGAGCCACCTGACCAGATGAGGCAGGAATTTGTAGTTTAGAGATGTGGTGAGGTGAACTCTAGGTCAGTTTAAGCGTTGAGCAGGAGGAGGCTAAGCAGTCAAGTACACAAGCTGTGGTGATGAGTATTGGTGGCTTATAAAGGCGATTTGGTACTACCAAAGTACATGTCCTAGCAAGAGAGTGAGATCTGGGTGGAGGACATATTTGGCAGTTCCGGTTGGTAAATAAGTGGGCGGTGGTAGAGAGGCCTGGTAGCAGGATCAGTATTGGGTTGAGGTGCAGCATCTTCTGGATAGAGGTGAGATTTGGAAGAAGCTAAAAAAAAAAAAAAAGAAAAAGCTAAAACTCACTTGTTAGAGCTTGATCAAATGATCAAAGGTCATGTTTAGGAATAAATCTCAGTCAGTGTTTTGGGGGCTCTGTGGGTGATACCTCAGCCATGGGTAGAGGAGAACTTTGGGGAGGAGCTAGAGGGGTTGCTATGGTAATAAGAGCTGCCCTTCACTGATGAATGTTCTGTGGTATATGCTAGCATGTTTTATACTCATCTAAAAAATATACCTTTTTTAAAAAATAAGAAATGGAGACTTAAATATGTGATTTGCCCAAGGCCACTTATTAAGCTGTACGTCGCAGAGCTGGAATTCAAGCCCAGGTCTATTGGATATCAAAGCCTTTACTCTTTCTTTATTCCAGATTGCCTCATTATATAATGGAGTGGACACCAGCCTTCCCATTTTATGTGGTTTGTTATGACTGTGATCCAATTTGCTGTGGATGAGATTTCACTCACTAATAAATTTGATTCATTTATGTGTTTTCTTTTTCTAGATTTTAATTTAATTTGAAAATGAGTAAGTGCAGAAAGCTACCACTGGGTTCAAGTCCTGAGACATTCAGCCCAGATGTTGTTGCTGACATTTCTGAACTCTTTGCCAAGAACTTTTCTTATGGCAAACCACTTAATAGTGAGTGGCCGTTACCAGATCCCACTGAGATTTTCTCCTGTGATCACACGGAATTTGATGCATTTCTTGGTTTGAAGAACTCCCTAAATGAAGTAAAAAACCTACTGAGTGATAAGAAACTGGATGAGTGGCACGAGCACACTGCTTTCACTAATAAAGCTGGAAAAATAATTTCTCACGTGAGAAAATCAGTGAATGCTGAACTTTGTACTCAAGCTTGGTGTAAGTTTCATGAAATTTTGTGCAGCTTTCCAATTATTCCACAGGAAGCTTTTCAGAATGGAAAATTGAATTCTCTACACCTTTGTGAAGCTCCTGGAGCTTTTATAGCTAGTCTCAATCACTACTTAAAATCTCATCGATTCCCTTGTGATTGGAGTTGGGTAGCTAATACTCTGAACCCATACCATGAAGCAAATGACAATCTTATGATGATTATGGATGACCGACTTATTGCGAACACCTTGAATTGGTGGTACTTTGGTCCAGATAACACTGGTGATATCATGACTTTGAAATATCTGACTGGACTTCAGAATTTCATAAGCAGCATGGCTACTATTCACTTGATCACTGCAGATGGAAGTTTTGATTGCCAGGGAAACCCAGGTGAACAAGAAGCTTTAGTTTCTTCTTTGCATTACTGTGAAGTTGTCACTGCTCTGACAACTCTTGGAAATGGTGGCTCTTTTGTTCTGAAGATGTTTACTTTGTTTGAACATTGTTCCATAAACTTGATGTATCTGCTAAACTGTTCCTTTGACCAAGTCCATGTTTTCAAACCTGCTACTAGCAAGGCAGGAAACTCAGAAGTCTATGTGGTATGTCTCCACTATAAGGGAAGAGAGGTAATGCATCCGCTGTTATCTAAGATGACACTGAATTTTGAGACTGAAATCACCAGGAAAGCTCTCTTTCCCCATCATGTGATTCCTGAATCTTTTCTTAAAAGACATGAAGAATGTTGTGTATTCTTTCATAAATACCAGCTAGAAACTATTTCTGAGAACATTCGTCTGTTTGAATGCATGGGAAAAGGGGAACAAACAAAGCTGAATAATTTAAGGGACTGTGCTGTTCAGTATTTCATGCAAAAGTTTCAGTTGAAGTCTCTTTCCAGAAATAATTGGCTAGTAAAAAAATCTAATATTGGCTGTAGTACAAATACAAAGTGGTTTGGGCAGAGGAACAGATATTTTAAAACCTATAATGAAAGGAAAATGCTGGAAACTCTTTCGTGGAAAGATAAGGTGGCCAAAGGTTACTTTAATAGTTGGGCCGAGGAACATTCTACATATCATCCTGGGCAAAGTTCTCTTTTAGAAGGAACAGCTTCCAATCTTGAGTGTCACTTGTGGCATATTTTGGAGGGAAAGAAACTGCCAAGGGTAAAGTGTTCTCCTTTCTGTGATGGTGAAATTTTAAAGGCTCTCAATGAAGCAATTGAAAAGTCATTTGGAGGAGCCTTGAATTTGGATTCCAAGTTTAAGCCAAAAGAGCTGTATTGTTGTTCTTGTCACATTTTTTCTGAAGAACTGATGTTTTCTGAGTTGTTTAGCCTTACCAAATGCTTTCAGGATGGGCAGGTTGTAGAACCTAGCAACCAAATAAAGTGCCTGCTTGTGGGTTTTTCAACATCTTGTGATGTCAAGATGCATATACCATTGGAAGTTCAGCTCCTGGAATCAGCTGAACTCATGAATTTTAGCTGTTCATTGCTTCATGATGGAGATCCAACTTACCAGCAGTTATTTTTGGACCGTCTTCTACAGTCATTACAGCAGCTTCATACAGGCGATGTTATGATTTTGCCTGTACTTTCTTGTTTTACAAGGTTTATGGCTGGTTTGATCTTTATACTCCACAGCTGTTTTAGATTCATCACATTTTCTTGTCCCACATCCTCTGAGCCCCTGAAGACCTGTGCAGTCCTGCTATGTGTTGGTTACCAGGACCTTCCAAATCAAGTTATCCAATATCTGCAGAATGTGAATGAATTGTTGAGCACTTTGCTTAACACTGATGCACCCCAGCAAGTTTTACAGTTTGTGCCAATGGAAGTGCTGCTTAAGGGGGCACTACTTGATTTTTTGTGGGATTTGAATGCTACCATTGCTAAAAGACATTTGCATTTGATTATTCAAGAAGAGAGAGAAGAATTCATCAGCAGCCTTCAGTTATGAACTTGGACTTGTCCTTTCTGAAATTTAACTTTATGGCTTCTTACAGTTTCCATTGTTATTGCATCCCTTTGCTATTAATTTAAAGCCTTTCATTTTGGGGAATGGCCAACTTTTGTATCATTTAAAGTTCCATTATTTCTGGAAAGACATCAGCTAGTTCCCAGGATATGTATACCCATAGGCATAGAGGTTTTCATGTGCCGGAATCTATACAGTCATAATATTCAGCCTCAAACATGAGATGTGTGTACGTGCTTGGGTATGGACACACCCATGCTTGCATATGCAGTTCAGTTGGTCTTATCTGCTTAAGGTTTGCATCTGGGTGCCTTCAGTTTCAATTTTTTTTCCCCAATTTCCTCTTGATGACTAATGATTTTGATGAATTGATTTGATGAGAGGAGGCGAGTCACTCCTGAGCAACACAGATTTTCTTTAACATTGACCATGTCAGTTATGGATTTGGGGAACTCATCTTGCCAGATTTCTTGTTATGCGCCATTCATTGCCTATAAGCCATTGACCCAGTTTACTTTATGGTTCAAGTGAAGCTTTGTGAATATTTTACTAATCACAACCATCCAACTAGAGAGGATATCAGGACAGCTTCAAACCAAAGATCATGTTTAAAACAATGAAAAATTACCGTATCTAATACAGCCCTGTATCATGACAAGTTTTATTTGGCAATGGTATAGTAATTTTTAACTTCCAGGAAATAATGTGTAAACTAAAGGATTTTTTAAAATAGGGAAGTAGTGTTTATAGTTTCATATTGCAGGACGTAAATGTGATAAATACAGTGGATACTGAAGAAGAACTTTAATACTTTTAGAATGATGGTTTAGCATTTAACATTTTTAAATCTTTAATTTCTTTTTTCAGTATGAAAGTAGCACTTGACCAGAAGTTTAACCATGAGATGATTATTTTATCAGTTCTGTTTGATTTCTGTTGAATCACATATATTTGACAGTACACCTGAGCTTTTCTGGCAGACTGTTAAGAAAATCTTCATTACTTTGAAATTCCACAGAATGGAGAATATTTATATTCTTATGTGTGCATTTTAGACATTTTTGTTAGTTATGTGAAAAAATAGATGTATTCTCTGATGTATTTGGTTGATAAATATTAATCTGAATTTTTTTCATGTTCTTTGCTATTTTGAGTTCCATTATAGATTCATGAATAAAGTCATTAGCAGAGAGATTTTGTGTTCGTCTTTTTTAAAGAGAATCATGGGGGAAGTTAAAAATATAACTTAGAAACAGATTTTTTTTAAGGAAGGTTTGAATGGGAGTTAATGTTCCTTCATTTCCTCTGATTTGTATTCATTAAAATTTAGTCCTTAATATTGTAATATTTATGGAAGCTCTACTTTGGGAAAGAAATTGAAAACTTAAAGGAGGGAGTAGAGGGGATAGATTTAGTTCCTGTCAGGGAGAGTGTTGGAGACCTGGAGGTAGATTTTTAAAAGAAAAGTGATTTCCTACTGGTGACTTTATGGAAGTAGTTCAAGTTGTATAATGATAGAAGTCTGACATAAAATTGATTACCATGAGAGAATTAAAACCACTCTCAGGAAACCATTTTGTATCTTGTAGTCTTTATGTGTTAGTTGGTTTGGTTCATTGTAATGATGCAGTTTATTTTTTACTTACTTTATTTGATTAGAATAAAATTGAAAGCTTAGCTCCAAGTTCTGGTATTAAAACTTCCTTTTAAAGCCCTCAAACAAATATTGAATGCTTAGTTTTGTAACCCTAGTCTGTATTGGAATACATAATACACTGGTGTATACTAGAATATATTTTGTTTTTTAACCTGGCTTTTGGAATCAGTTGCTGTTTATCTGATTAATTGAATTCTTATTGCTTTAGAGGTGAGATATGACTTGAGGAAGATTCAAATTGAACTGGATGTGGATGGTAGGTACCAATGATTTATAGGCATTTCTCTTTGAGAAAAAGGGGAGAAAAAATGCTTTCTAAAACATGAATGAAAATATAGAGGGCAGTAAGTGAGAGATAGTTTGTATAGTTTATCAGGATAATTACTGTTCTTTAAAAACAGTATTGTTTGGTAGATCTCGAGAATTTTAATTGTGATGCTTTTTGAAGAAAATTTTTAACAGCCAAAAAATTTAAACTTCATGTGTTCCCTAAAATCTTAGATGAGAAAGAGGTCTTAATAAATTTAATTTCTTCAACTTTTAAGTTTTATGCCTCCTAGAAAAAATTCAGTTTTATATTTTAGTGGAGGCTTTTACATATTATCCTACTGTTACTTAAATATTTAAATGCATTGAAAAGGTCTTTTCTGAAATAAAATTAGAATCCAAATTTGTGGACTTCACTCCATCTTTAAAATAGTTATTTTGTTTAAAAAGGTATGTTAAATTTTTTTCTCTTTCGAAGATCTTGGATTAAAAAATAGGAGAATTGAAAAAAATGTTTATTGATGCTTTTGTTATTTTACTTATCTTTGATGAAAATTCCAGGTCTTTAAAAATATTTAAACCTTATTCTTCATTTCTAGATGAGATTATTTATTGAATAGTTTTTAAATTCGTTACAGTGCTTTGGTGTGGGTATATGAAAATAGTTACTCCCTCACATTTTTAGAAATGAAAATGTTGATTATAAACCTAACCAAAATCTTATTTTCCATGTTGATAAAAATGAGAAATAGGACATTTTTAGTTTTGTTTCAGTTTTTAAAATAGTTTTAAACAATAAATGATTAGCATTTTTTAGTAAAAATACTTCATGCTTCTAAAGCTTTTAAACAGCATGAGAGGATTTCTGTTAGTTTTTATGTTCTAAAAAAATAAAAAAAAAATTTAATTACACTAGTACAATTAGGCCTTATTTAAATTTCCTTTGTAATCTGTTTAATGCAATTTGAACAAAACTTAGACTTAATGTAAATATTATCCTCTTAAATTAATGAAAAATTATATAATTAAGGAAGACATTTGTAGAGATTGTTCTTTTTCTCTGTACATTATGCTGAAAAGATATTTGTCTAAAAAGATTCTACAGATCTTTGTGGATAAATCTATTTTTACATGTATATCTGCATCTTTTTTGATGTTGAAGATTTGTGCTTCAACACTAAATTATTTTACTGTGCTTTTACTGTCTGTAGACTTTTGGGAGTTTCTACTCTTTCCAGAGAATTCCAGGATTGACAAATTAGTATGCATACTAGATTAACTGAGAAAATTCAAAACAAGCACAAACACATCCTGGTGAACTTTTTTTATTAGAGTAAACATCATTCCTGCAACTATCCAATAAGTCCAGTAATATTAATTTCTTTCTGGAGCTATTGTACTTACTGCTTGAATCAATTTGACCATTAATCTTACATTATTCTTTTTTTCCCCATTATTTCATTTTCTTGCCAGGATTATAAACTCAAAGACAAGGCACTGTGACAAGGATACTTATTTTTTATCCCATATAGTCAATATAAGTGTCTGTGGAATACTATTTTATTATAGAAAACTTACAAACATACACCACCATGTACCCTCACCCAAGTTCCAAAATTATCAACATTTTGCTAAACTTGTTTTATTTTCCTACACTTCTTTTTCTTGGAATATTTTAAAGAAAATTCATGAAGTATTTATTTCTAACAGATAAGGACTTTATTACAACAAACAAAATTAACATCACTCATTACTTAGTCCATATTCAAATTTTTCAGATTGTCTCAAAAGTGACTTTTTATAGTTGATTCAAATAAGGATTCAGATAAGGGTCACACATTGCATTTATTTAATATGTTTCTGAAGTTAGTCTTTTAAGAACTCCACCTCTCTACTCCCAGTTCCAACATTTTCTTTCCCATGCCATTTTAACGGTTCTGTAGTTTTCAATATTCTGGATTTGGCTGATTATTTTATCTTTTAACTTGTATCTTTAGTCCATATATTTCCTATAAATTGGTAGTAGATCTAAATGATTGATTACTGTTGGCAAGAATACTTCATAAATGTGTACTTCCTTTTTTATCATATTATTAAGCACAAAATGGCTAGCTGTCCGCTCTCAGTGACATTAGGGTTAATCAGAGGTTCAGATGTTAACCCTGTTTATACACTACCAAGTTTTCTTTCGATCTTTCACTTAATAGTTTTGACATCTATTGAATATTGATACTTAGCTCTATTAGGGGTTTCAAATTACTGATTTTCTAACCATATTTCTCCTGTCTCTAAAGTTGGACTTGACAACATATACTTAAAGTCATCAGCTATTTATTTTTTTTCTGAAATAGGTTGTTTAGGAAAAGTCAGAGTGTTTAATTTTTAAAACACTATCAATTTTCAGAAAAACAAGTTGGTGTCTTAGCAACCTCCAAAGGTGACCAATGAGATTTTTTTTGGTTACAGTTGTTTTTACCTATCTTTAAGAATTCATGGATGGTTATATATTTTATGTATTTTAATCCAACACAACTATACTTACTTGATGCTCAAATTATCCTAATTTGGCTTGTGTAGGTGAGGGAGGGGCTCCTCCAAGTTGATACGTATGTCTTTTTTTACATAATTCAAACAGTTTTTGATAGGTTCCATACTTTCTGGCACAACATGTGCCAATTTTGTCTTGCTGAGACCTGTCATTATCCTGAGCTTACTGAGAATGTTGTACTACAGTAGTTCTCAAACATTTTGGTCTCAAGACCCCCTTACCCTCTTAAAAATTATCGAGGAATCCAGAGAGCTTTTGTTTATGGGAGCCATATCTGTTGATATTTTCCATCTCAAAATTTAAACAAAAATTTCAAGCTTTATTAATAAATTAAAACATAACAATGGTAAAACCATTACATGTTAACGTAATTTTTTTAATGAAAAGTAACTTTCAAAACAAAATTTAGTGAGAAATGTGATATTGTTTATATTTTTGTAAATATTTTTTGTTTTTATATCTAGATTCTCATATCTTTTTACATTCAGTCTGTCGCAATACATTGTTTTGAAGTACTTAAGATAATCTGGCCTCACATAGACATATAACTGGAAAAGGGAGGAATATTTTAATAACTTTTTTAGGTAATTATGGATATTCTTTGATGCTGCTCCAAAATTTGACAGGTGATGGTATCTTAAAAGTTGGTAGCAATGAAAAATCTTAAACTGTATTAACGAACTTTTTGCACTGTCACACTAAAATCAAGTCTTGCACTTGAATGGATCACTTACCCACAGGTAGTTTTGCAACACCATGAATTTGTCATTTGGAAAATATCAGTTCATTGAGTTATATAGATGTTGTAAATGTTGACACATTTGATTATATGGTATCAAAAAGTCACATTCGTAAATATCACCACTGATTTCATCAGAAAAATCTAAGTATTGAGAAGTTGTCAAGATTAGGGTGGTGGACAGAAATTTTCTAAAATTCTAATTTTCACTTGAATGCTTGAATTTTATCATGGCAACAAATACTGAAGATTGTTTTCTGTGAAGTGACAGTTCACTTTATTAATTTTGAGAAAATATCTGTCACTCATGTCTGAATAACTATAGTCTGTCTGCCAGTTGTTCTTTAAAGTAAAATGGTGTTCAATGAGAAATGTACAACTTGTTTGCCACTCAGTTGTGCAAATGCTTTTCCTGGAGACAGGCATCCTACTTCGGTGTGCAGCAGAAGTGCATCGTGTGTATTTCCAATTTCTTCACTTCTAATATTAAGACGTACCAAGTGTTGAAACTTAATAAAATTAGTCATTTTTACTACTCTATCAAGGGTACTCTTTTTTAAATTTAAAAATTATTTGTTAGTTGCAATTGACATACAATATCATATTAGTTTCAGGTGTACAACATAGTCACTAGACATTTATATATGTTCTGTAGTGATCACCCCAATAAGTCTGGTACTTACCTGACACCATACATAGTTATTACCATATTATTGACTATATTCCTTATGATGTAATTTACATCCCCATAACTATTATAACTGGCAATTTGTACTTCTTAATTCCTTTCACCTTTTTCACTATTAAGGATATTCTTAATTAGAAATGGCTTTTTCTCTCACTATGAATATGTGATAAAGGATACAATGACTACGAGCCTACTTTAGTGCCACTACCTTGATTTGTGCTAAGTCACCAATAATTTTGCCCGTCAGTGAGACTATTAATACGGTAAAGAGAGAATAAATAATGTCTTGGTTTGGGTCCACAGACCTCATTTTGAGAACTGCTGCTCTAGTGTTTTCTCATTATATCAGCTGCTGACTTTTTAATTTAATTTATATTAATGAGGTATTCCTATTTTTGAGGCTCTTTATAAACGAATGTTTAGTTTTTCCATTTTTTAAATAAGTGGAGATAAACATTTTTCTCTTTAGTTCTATTAATATGTTTAATTGTATTAACGGATTTCCTAATTTTGAATTTCTCATATTTCTGGAACAAGCATTGCTTGATTATGATGGATTATTGGATTCTGTTTGCTAATATTTCACTTAAAATTTTTGCTGAAATGTTTATAAGTGAGATTGTTTTTAGTTTTATTGAGCAGTATTTGTCTGGTTTTGGAATCAATGTTAAATTTGCTTTATAAAAATGATTTGGACTTTTTTTCTATGCTTTGAAATAGTTTAAGTAGTATTTGCATCATCTGATCTTTAAAGATTTGATAGACTTTGTGAAACCATCTGAGCCTGGTGTCTTTTTAGAGGGGAGTTCTTTTATGACTTCCTATATTCCTTTTTACAAAATTTATTCAGAGTTTTTATCTCTGTTAGTGTCGGTTTTGGTATGTTTACCTAGAAAGCTCTTTATTTCATCTACATTAAAAAAATTTTTTTTCTCATAGAATTATACAAAGTAGTCTTATGATTAAAAAGAAATTTCCCGTTTTGAGCTTGTTTCTTTTGTTTGTATACTTGTGCTTTCTCCCCATCCTTTATAAATCAGGTTAATTATTTCTGTTTTGTTGATTAATTTTCAAAGAACCATTAATTTTTTGGTTTACTTATTTCCTTTTCTGTTTTTTTTTTAACTCAGCAATTTCTGCTTTATTTTTTTAAAATTGAGGTAGAATTGTCACATAATATATTAGCTTCAGGTGTACCACATAATGATTTGATATATGTAATATTTTGAAATGATCACTACAATAAATCTAGTTACCATCCACCACCATAGATAATTACAAAATTTTTTCTTAATGTTGAGAACTTTTAAGGTCTATTATCCCCATCTCTGGCAACCACCAATCTGTTCTCTGTATTCCTGAGCTGTTATTTAAAAAAAAAATTTTTTTTTTGAAGATTCTACATACAAGTGAGATCATATAGTATTTGTCTTTCTCTGTATGACTTATTTCACTTAGCATAATGCCTTCAGGGGCGATCCATGTTGTCACAAATGGCAGAATTTTCTTCTTTTTTATGGCTGAATAATATTCCAGTGTGTGTGTATGTGTGTGTCTCCCACATTTTCTTCATCCATCCTTTGATGGGTACTTAGATTCTTTCCATGTCTTGGCCATTGTAAGTAATGCTGCAGTGAACATGAATGAGCATATATATACCTTTCTGAGTTAGTGTTTTCACTTCTTTTAGATAAATACCCAGAAGTGGAATTGTTGGATTATGTGGTAGTTCTATTTTTAATTTTTTGAGGAAACTCTCTACTCTTTTAGTGGAGTAAAACATAGTGACTGCACCAATTTACATTCCTACCAACAGTGCAGGACGGTTCCCTTTTCTCCACATTCTCTCCAATACTTGTTATTTCTTATCTTTTTGATAATAGCCATTCTAACACGAGTGAGGTAATATCTCCTTGTGCTTTTGATTTGCTCTTTGCTGATGATTAGTAATGTTGAATATCATGTACTTCTTGGCCATCTGTATGCCTTTTTTGGAAAAAATTCTATTTAGATCCTCTGCCCATTTTTAAATCAGATTGTTTTTTGTGATTGAGTTGTATGACCAAATATATTTTGGCTATTAACCACTTATCAGATATGATTGGCAAATACTTTATCCCATTCATTAGGGTTGCCTTTTCATTTTGTTGATGGTTTCCTTTGCTATGCAGAAGCTTTTTAGTTCAATGTAGCCCCACTTGTTCATTTCTGCTTTTCTTTCCTTTGCTTTTGGTGTTAAATACAAAAAATCATCACCAAGACAGTTGTCAAGGAGCTTCTGGCCTATATTTTCTTCTAGGAGTTTTATGGTTTTGGGTCTTACATTAAAATCTTTGATCCTTTTCAATTTGACTTTTGTGTATGATGTAAGATAGTGGGCTGGTTTCATTCTTTTGCGTGTGACTGTCCAGTTTTCCCAGCACCATTTATTGAAAAGATTGTCCTTTCCCCATTGTATATTTTTGCCTCCTTTGTCAGGAATTAATTGACCATGTATGCATGGATTTATTTCTTTAAAAGTTTTTAAAATTTTTTCAATTACAGTTGACATACAATATATTAATTTCAGATATACTTTATGAAGTGATCACCCTGATGAGTCTAGTGTGTCAGTTTATTTCTGGGCTCTCTGTTCTGTTTCACTCATCTATATGTCTGTTCTTATGCTAACACCATACTGTTTTAATGACTATAGTTTTGTAATGTAGTTTGAAATCAAGGCCTATGATGCTTCCAGTTTCTTCTTTCTCAAGATTGCTTTGGCTAATTGGGGTCTTCTATGGCTCCATACAAATTTTGGGATTGTTCTTTTTCTGTAAAAATGCTGTTGGAAATTTGATAGGGATTATATCGGATCTGTAGATTGCTTTAGGTAGTATGAATATTTTACTAATATTAGTTCTTTCAACCCATGAACATGAACTACCTTTTCATTTATATTTGTGTTTTCTTCAGTTCTTTCATCATGTCTTATAGTTTTCAGTGTACAGGACTTTCACCTCCTCGGTTAAATTTATTCTTAGATATTTTATTCTTTTGATGCAATAAAATGGGATTGTTTTCTTAATTATTCTTTCTAGTAGTTTGTTATTAATGCATAGAAATACAACAGGTTTTTGTATATTGATTTCGTATCTTGCAATTTTACTGAATTTGTTTATTTTAACAGTTTTTGGGTGGAGCTTTTAAGGTTTTCTATATATAATATCACGTCATTTGCAAGTAGTGACGATTTTACTTCTTCCTTTCCAATTTGGATGCTTTTTATTTATTTTTCTTGTCTAATTACTCTGGCTAGGACTTCCAATACTGTATTGAATAAAAGTTGTGAGAATAAGCATCCTTGTCTTGTTCCTGATCTTAGAGAAAAAGCTTTCAGCTTTTCATCATTGATTATGAGGTTAGCTGTAGGCTTGTCATATATGGTCTTTATTATGTTGAAGTACATTCTCTTGATATCCAGCTTGTTTAGAGTTTTTATCATAAATGGTTATAGAATTTTGTTGAATGTTTTTTCTGTATCTGTTGAGATGATCATATGATTTTTATCCTTCATTTTATTAATGAGATATATCACATTGATTGATTTGCAGATGTTGAACCCATCCTTGCATCCTTGGAATAAAACCTGCTTAATCACAGTGTATGATCCTTTTAATGTATTGTTGAATTTGGTTTGCTAATATTTAATGACACCTGTGAGCATGAAAACCTGTGGGGTGAAAATATCAGTGGCAAAATCTGCAGGAGGCCCTTAGTAGCTGTACTGGCCATTGATTTCCTCAGCCGCAAAAGCATCTAAGGTCCTCTGAGAAGCAGTCTTCTGGGGTCTCCAATGAGATTCTCAGTGAGAAATCTGGGGAGGAAGTCCACAACATCTCCAAGGGCTGTTGATGTTCTCAGCAGTGAAGACTTCTAGGGTCCTCTGCTGAGCAGGCCATTAGAAACTGTAGTTGCTATGTGGCTGATATTGGTAGGTCCTCTCTTCTCTGTTTCTAGCCATTTCTAGACATCTCAGCTTTGCTGGCCTCTGGATAGGGTGAAACTGAAGTGAGTTCTTCATATAGTTCTCCAAAAGGCTGGGGAAGCTGGTCGCCTACCCCGTTTTCCTTTTACTGGTAAGGGGAACTCTTTTGGGCTGGGAAGTTCCCTCTTGGGGGATAGGATGATGCAAGCAAAATGAAACTGTTCTGCCTATACTTTTTGTGTGGTTATTCTCAGGTTTTTTGCTTCACTGTGCTGCTGAAGCTTCTTAAGTGGACTCCTGAGCAATCTCAGAGCTATTTTCATTCATGAATAAGTGTCTAATTGTACTTTGTATAGGGGGGCGGGTAGCTAGAGTCTATTTTGCCACCTTGATGATTTCACTCATTCAGCCTTTTAAAAATTTCACTCTCATTTTGTAGCTTGCATGGCTTCTAACAAGATGGCTAGTAATAATTCTTATGTTTATTTCTCTCTAGTAATGCTTCTTCCTCCCTGCTTTGGCTGCCTTCAAGATTTTTTTTTGTGTTTTTAGAAGTTGAATATGATATGTCTATTTCTGGCATGAGTATTTATCTTGGTTGGTGGTTCGAATCTGTAGTTTGCCATTAATTTTGGAAATTCTTAGCCATTATCCCTTCAAATATTTATTCTTCCCCAGTCCCTGTCTTTTTTACTTCTGGAATTCTGATTGTATATCTGTTAGATCATTTGATTTAGTCCTACAGTTCCTGGATGCTATCTTGTTTTATTTTTTACTTTTTTTTGCTTTGCTTTCAGTTTGAATATTTTCAAGGTCATTGATTCTTTCCTTAGCTCTGTTAAGTCTGCTGATGAGGCTGTCAATCACAATCTTGATCTTTATTACTGTGTTTTTCATTTCTGGCATCTTCATTTGATTTTTTTTCTAACAGTTTCCATCTCTCTGCTGAAATTATTCATCTGAATGAGTGATGTCCAATTTTTCTGTTGGAGACTTTGACACATTTTTCATAGTTACTTTAAATCCTCTATTTGATAACTCTAACGTCTGTGTTTTTTATGACTCTGGTTCTGTTGATTATTTTGTCTCTTGGCACTGTGGAGTTTTTCCCCTTGCCTTTTTTGTACATCACATCTCAAGTAATTTTTTTTTATTTTTTATTTTATAGGGAAGATAGAGAAGAAGAAACTGGACAGGGCTCCATGGCCTTCTGGCAGCAGTTGATCTCTCCCTCTCCTAAGTCTGTATGATGAGGGATGCTTTTTCAGGACTCTTCCCATCATTTTTGGTGAGTACCCACTGGAATCCATGGAGAGCAGAGCCTGTAAGTGTTGTGAACTCTTCTTTTATCTGAAGACTTTAGGGTTCCATATTGTCAACAGCCAATACTCAATCTCTGCCAATTTGTTAACAACAATTCTAGGTGAATCCTTCTTACTAGTGTTTAATTGCCCCAAGTAAACAAATCCTTGTATTCCATGTCTCCCCATAGGTGCTTGTTTCTCCTCAGATTTTGGTTTAGTTGGCATTTTCTCAGCTTCAGGTCTTCGATGGATTCAGGCAAAGTCATTTACTTGCAGTTTGTTCAATTATTAGGGTGGGATGCCGTTCTTTCTAGCTCTTTTCCAGCTCTCTGCCTTCAAGAAGAAACCAGGAGCCTTAGCTTCCTTATTGTTACCCCCAATCTCTCTACTGGTAGGATGACTGTTTTTGTTTACACCAGTATAATTATTAATAGCACCCCCTTTCCCTCTAGAGTTTCTTTGTTTGAATGATAAATTGTATGATCACCATGTCCTTAAAATATTACATGATGAGGTTTCACCAGGAGTATATGTTAAGTTTGGATGCATTTGTTTATTCTAGATAAAAATAAAATATTGAAGATCATTTTTGTGATATTCTAAAGGGCATGGAGAGAAAAAGTATAAACGAAAGACCAAAGCCAATGTGTAGACTTTATCTGGATCCTGTTTCAATCCAAAAGTATTTACTTTTAGACAATCAAGGACACAGGCTAGGTATTAGAAGATATTAAAGAATTATTGTTATTTTGTTAACTATTACAATGATATCATAGGTGTTTTTTAAAAATCTTATTTGTCAGATAAATTCTGATGTGTTTGGAGTTGAAATGTTATGACAGTGGGAATTTATTGAAAAATATTAAAAAAAAGGTGAAGGGAGAGAGTAATGTGATAAAAACAAGAATGACAAAATGTTGATAATTATTTTTTTCCAACTTAATTGAAACACAATAGACAATTAGTTACTTGTATTTACATTGTACAATTCAATGAATTTTTTTCAATTATAGTTGGCATACAATAATATACCAGTTTCAGTTGTACAGCACAATGATCAGAGATCTACATAACTCGCAAAGTGATCACCCTACTAAATCTAGTACCTCTCTTCCCCCTTACGTATTTATTACAACATTATTACCTATCTTCCCTGTGCTCACTCTACATGTCATGTCTATCCTGCAACTATCCATTTGTACCTCTTAATCTCTTTGCCTTTTTTTTTGCCATCTCCCTCAACGTCTCTCCCATCTAGTAGCCCTCAAAATATTCTCTGTATCTATGAGTTTATTTATGCTTTTGTTTATTTTGTTCTTTAGATTTCACATGTATGTGAAATCATGTGACGTTTTTCTCTGTCTGACCCACTTCATTCAGAGCAATACCCCTTAGATCCATCAAGGCAAAATCTTTTCCCATCCCCTCCTTTTAGTCTATGTGTGTCTTTTAATCTGAAGTGAGTTCCTTATAGGCAGCACATTTAGAGGTCTTGTTTTCACATGCATTCAGCCACTCTATCTTTTGGTTGGAGCACTTAATTCTTTTCCATTTGAGGTACTAGTTGATAGGAATGTAGTTATTACCATTCTATATTCCTGTTTTTGATACATGTTTTTTCTTCTTAATGAAGTCCTTCCGACACGTCATAATACTGGCTTGGTGTTGATAAATTCCTTTAGCTTATTTTTGTCTGGGAAGCTTTTTCTCTGTTCTTCGACTCTAAATGATAGCTTTGCTAAATAAGCTATCTACCCAGGTTGTAGATCCCGGGTTTTCATCACGTCAAATATTTTGTGCCAAACCCTTCCGTCCTGCATAGTTTCTTTTGAGAAATCAGCTGCCAGTCTTATGGGTGCTCCTTTGTAGGTAACTAACTGCTTTTCTCTTGCTGCTTTTAAGATTCTCTCTTTGTATTTAACCTTTGGCATTTTAATTGTTATGTGTCTTGGTGTGGGCCTCTTTAGGTTCATCTTTTTGGGACTCTCTGAGCTTCCTGGGCTTATATGTCTATTTTCTTTACCAGGTGAGGGAAGTTTTCCATCATTATTTCTTCAAATAACTCTTCAACTTCTTGTTTTCCTTCAGGTACCCCAATGACATGTATATTTTTACATTTAATAGTGTCTCATAGGCTCCTTAAATTATTATTATAATCTTGGCTTCTTTTTTCTTGCCATTGTGATTGCGTGCCCTTGGCTTCCTTATCCTCTATATCGGTGGTTCAATCCTCTTCTTTATCTTTGTTTATTCCATCTAATATATTCTTCATCTCAGATAACATGTTCTTCATTTCTGACTGGTTTCCTTTTATAATTTCCATTTCCATTTTATGTTTTTTTTAATCTCTTTGTTAAATTTCTCACTGCATGCATCTGCACTTCCCCTGAGTTCAGTGTTTTGAACTCTGCATCTGTTAGATTGTTTGATTCCATTATCCCTGGATCTCTGTTCTGTTCTCTCATATGGTTTCTTCTTTGTCTTCCCATTTTGGCTGCCTTTCTGTGTCGGTTTCTATGTATTAAGCAAAGCTCCTAAGTCTCCCAGTCTTATGAGTGTGGCTTTGGTAGTAAGTGTTCAGCAGCATAATCTTGAGAGAGGTTCAGCTGCAGGCCAAGTTCAGCCCCAGCCTGTGTCCCTCCTGGGCCACTTGTTAAGATTCAGCCAATAATCCACAGATGCTGTGCTTATAGTTGCCTCAAGAAACAATACCAGAAACCAAGGCCAGCTGCCATCAGTGTGACTCTTGGTGCTGCTCAACAAAGAGCACCCGACTACCTGGGGACACACCTGGATATGGCTTGGGTGGGGCTGAGAGTTGGGGGAGGCGGAGTTTCAGGGAATCCTCTGTTTGGAGCAACCTCTGTTATCTGGTTTGATGACATCTTAGCTATGGCAGTACTGCATCAGCATACTGGGTAGTAGAAAGGCTCAACAGAGGAACAATGGATACCTCTGGCACTTCTGTCCGGGAGAGGTGCTCACCTCTGGCTCTCACTCCTACAACTCAGTGTCCCCATGTAAGTCACTGGTGCCTCCTGAGCAGCTGACCCAGCACTGGTGCTCAGAGCAAGCAGACCTGTCACCACGGAAGTCTGCTTTTAGACATGACCCCTTTAAGTGGCATCTGAAGCTGTCAGCTGCCACTGCTATACCCTCAGTCCCACTCAGCCACTTGGGACTGGGCAGGCTTGCATCTTCACCCCTCCTACCTTCTACCATTGCAGGGTGATTTCTTATTTCTCTCTCTAATTGTAGCGCTTTTGTTCATCTAGATCTCAGGCAACTTTCCTTGCTGTTTGCTCTGTGTTTCTGTCACAATTTTGATTTGGTCACAAGAGAGATGAACAAAGCCTCTATCATAAATGCTTTTTTTTTCCCCCAAAATGTTGGTAATTATTGAAGCTAGGTGATAGGTACATGGAAGTTCATTATTTTATTGTTTCATCTTTTTTGTATTTTTGTCAATTTCTGTAATAAAAACTTTAAAAAAAGGAGACAAGGATATAATCAGAAACCTATTTCTTTTTTAAAAGTAAGGTAATTCTCCTACAATTTAAGCTCGTAAAAGTAAATTTTTCTAGTGGCAAATCAGAGGCAATGCAGCCATGCCTGAAAGTTCATTTGAAAACTTCTTGTGTTTCAGTGATTATTCAGCAGACCAGATAATCTGTGATATCATAGGTACAGGGAGAAAAAAAACAAGTGAAATGCTTTGGTTTCTATGTAGTTTCATTGTGCAGACCCACACTGGACCAGGAGGGAATGAACTTTGCAGTTGCCTTATTAATCCTGACTCAATTTAGTGTCTGTGTTGTGCAGACTTAACTGCTTTTCCTTCCTTTTATCAGGTTCTCGCTATCCTTCCATTTTTCTTGTTTATAATATGGAGAGACAAATACCTTGGGAAAAGGGGGTGACAAGGCTATAAACTTCTTGGGAGCAAGGACTCTTCACTGTTTGAACAGTGAATGGTACACCTAGTACTGTTACAGGCTCATAAAAGATACTAAATAAATATTGGATGAAGAAATGAGTAAATAAATTCACATTTGCTGCTTGCCACATAGAAGGAACCTAGTAGATACTGTATTTGTTGAATTGAATTGTGGATGACAGAGTTGAAAAGAGAATTTTATTGTTTATGTTCATTTAGTGCCAGTCCTCTTCAAAGTCTTTGAAAGATGATGCCCAGATGAGCGGAATCAGCCAGTGTGTTGTCTGTGAATAGACAAGGGAAGCCAAAATGAAGTGCGGCTTCATTTAAAACTAAAAGAGCAATATATAGTCACATACATGCCACCTTTCTTTCAAATACATTCACAGACATGATTAGGAGAGGACAGTGATTCTCTACTCCCCTCTAAAAGTCCTCCTTTAGTTCTGCAAAGAAATCAGGAGACTTTGTAATATCCTGTTCACAAAAAATTGGCATGAAAGGTACCCTTAAATAAACAGGTGTAATTAATCATGGTGCTGCTTGTTTTGATGAGCATGCAAGAGTGACAAGTTAATAATAAATTTCTAGCTCATACAGGGAAGGTGGCTGAGGAGGTGCTGTGGCTTAATTTACATCTTCGGATGGCGTGGAAGATTTAATAATCTTCCTGCCTTATACATCAAACTAATACCCTGAGGCAGAAAAGCAAACCATTTTTAACTGTTAATCTGAGAAGCTATAAAATCCCGTCTCAGGTTACAAATAAATTGAGTTGCTGGTGAACCCCTAGCATGTGTGATTTATTCAGATTCCAAAGCCACTCAGGACCTCTGGGAACCTGGGCTGCAAAACCAGGCAGGTGGGAATGCTATGGTTATTGGCAATCTAATCAGTAGGTCTAGACTGAGGGCAGTGACTGATTTTGCCTTAGATTTATTTCACCTTCCATGTCGACTACAAATAAATTATGGAATAAAAAAAAATATATGAATTTGAGATTTAGTTCTAAATGATTGCTTTTAGTTGGGATTATAACCATCTTTC